TCTTTAGGAAGTCCAGGTCAATTAGGGACACCGGAACAAGATGGAAGTTTTGGTCAATCAGGTACACTAGGTACTCCAGGAAGTCTGGGAACTACAGGTATTATTAAGTGTGGGAACGCCAAGTACTCCAGGAAGTCCAAAGCAAGATGGAAATGGTGGCTGAAGTTTAGGTCAACCAGTCAGGCATTCTAGGAAATCCAGGACATGGTGAAGGAGGAGCTTCTAGATCTTATAGAACACCAGGAGAAAATCAACCAAATGCATCCGAATCACCTAATACTCAGACACCAACATCTACGCCATATCTAACAAATAAAACTTCAAAATTCCAGATTTCCATTTAGCCGTGCGTCTCTTAAGACTAGTTCTAGGTCTAGTGTTAGTTCTAGTTTTAGTTCAATAAAAAATACACAGGGTATCCCACGTAAGCAACAAAATACATAAATGGCATTAACCCATTTAGTCCCACGCTACTTTATATAAAAAATAATCGGTTTTTTATAATACTTCTTAAGATAAGATGGAACCAAAAGTATAAAAGTGTACATTTTTAAAGGCATTTGAAAAAAAAGTTGTTTTATGAGATATGAGATGATGCAAAAATTCACCACTAGTAAGATCAATGAACAACACAAAAATATTATGATTATCATTTAACTAAGTAATAAGTTAGTCATAAATAAATAATAATAGTAATACAACATAATACTAACAAATACCAACTTTAGTATGAAGTTTGTATGTAAAAAATATTTAAACTAAAATTGGTGCAAAAACGCTCCAATGGGGTCAACAGTATAATCATTTATTTTGATACTTCGCAAACCACTCTTCATGTAAATGAACGCTAAACTTACTACACATGCATTGAAGCACTATATCCATTAATGACTATTTCTAGGGAAATCATCGAATAAATGCATCATACATCCCAATGGTGTGTTTTTGCACCATTAATGTTTCAAGTCGTATTTTCAGAATTCATATTTTTATTTCGCGTTTCAAGATATATATTAGGAAAGTATGCACCAAAAACTTGCAAATGTCAAAATTTTTAAGAATTTTATGCACTAAAGATAGTTTTATTTCCATTGTATATTTTGAACAGAAATTTTCAATAGAAAAGAATTAATGCAAATATGGTTTAAAAGCAAGAATTATGAAATATTTTGATATGTATAGCCTATCAACTATATAGAGTTATCGTACAAACAGTACATTCAAATCTGGAAATATACGGCTGTAAAATAATTTTAAAAACGCTGGTGCGTTTTCACACCAGTGGGACTAAATGGGTTAAGGAGCCGAGATACGCAGTTCTTCCTTAGACAAGAGTTGTAGCAAATTGTAGAAATTTGATGTTACCATATTCAAAAATGTCGAAAATTTTAAATGGAACACCTCATGTTTGACTACTTAATCAGATAGAGAATTTAATTCTCTACAAATCTTCAGTATGCACAGAATGGCAGATCTTATTCATTTTTTCCTTAGTAGGCCATGAAATAAGACGATAAATAATTCTCAACCAAACTTTATTTATAAGTGTTCAAATATCTGCCCTCTCTGCTTTATGCATAGATGTAGCCGATTTACGAAATCGGCTTACACATTATCTATTGTTTCAGCAGAGATATTTCTAAAGCTTTTCCTTATTCTATTCTTCATATCTCCTTTCGTCGTTGGAAGCGTACCACTTCGGTTTTGACATATTCCCAAATGAAGAAGTCGCAGGGAGTAAAATCAGGTGATCTTGCTGGCCGCGACCGATCTTATTGGACCTCCACGACCAATCTAGTCTTTCATATCCAATATTTAAAAAGTTGAGAAACATCCCTCAAATAATATGCAGGAGCCACGTTGTTGAAATATCATTCTTTGTCTAGTTTCTAAATCTGCATCTTCTAGCAGCTCTGGCTACTCTTTTTCTAAAAATGTTTTGTAAATTTGTTCCGTCAGTATACCATCAAAGAAAAATGGCCCAACTATTTTACGGTTAAATATTTCGCCCCAAACATTTAACGACCACACATTTTGATTGTTTACGCGCGTTAGCCACAGACGATTTTCGGTTGCATAATAATGCATATTATGTCGGTTTACTAACCCGTTGCTTTTAAAAGAAACTACTTTCAATCACTAAATAAAATTGATGATACGAAAAGAGGGTTTTCATTTATTTCATCTAAAATTGTCGTACAGAAAGCTACTGTTAGCAAAATCATCTCCATGAAGTTCTTGGTGTAAATTCAAATGATATGGGTGGTAGTTGTGAAGCTTATAATTCACTTTAGTGTGCTTTTACTTATATCTGTTGCTCTAGCGATCTTAATAAAACATTTAGTTCATTGTTCACTTCTTGAACCGCATACGACTTTTTTCGACGTTTAGGTATGTCGACACTACTAATATCTTCAAATCTATACAGGGTGATTTATTAACTCACCATCAAACTTAGACATATGATAGCTAATCTAATTACCAAAAAAAAAGTTAATGAAGATATGTTCTATTTCAATCATTTACGAAATTATAACACTTTAAAGTTTTCTGCAGCGAATTTATTAATAGTCAGTAAAACCAAACATTCAACAAAAACAAAGTTTTCAAAAACAGTTTGTAATATGTCAGTTTGCTGTAAGTTTTAATTATTACATACAAGAAGAAACTCAAAATGTACGCTTATAGCACTGAAGAGTATGCTGATATAATTTTCGTGTATGGTTTTTGCAATGGAAATGCTCGACAATCAGTACGAGAACATCAAGAAAGATTTCCACAGCGTCATTTGCCATATTATTCAGTTTTTAGCGATTCTTTCAGAAGAGTTCGAGAAACAGGTAATCCTGCTCCAGCAAAAGCCATTCGACCGCATGTAGTTAATGTAGAGGACGAAGAAGCTGTAATTAATGCTGTCATTGATAATCCTTCCATCAGTACTCGAAGAATAGTACACAACATACATGTAAGTCAAAATTTTGCATGGCGCGTATTGAACCGCGAAGTCCTTCATCCGTATCGTAAACAGAATGTTCAAGCTCTATAGCCAGGAAATAATCACCAACAGTTAGCATTTTGTGAATGGTTATTGCAGCAACATGCCCAAAATAATGACTTCATTTCAAATGTTCTCTGAACAGATGAATCATGTTTTACACGAGATGGTATAAATAATTACCATAATGAACATATCTGGGCATTACAAAATCCGCATGCGATTAGACCAAGGAAATTTCAACAACGTTTCAGCATCAACGTTTGGGGTGGAATATTTAACAACAATTTACTAGGTTTGCATGTATTTGATGGACGTTTGAATGCTGTAAATTAAAGATTTTTTTGAGCAATACATTCTTTGATTTACTTGAAGATATACCTCTTAAAGTAATTCCAAAATATGTGGTACCAGCACGATGGTGCCCCACCACATCGCGGAAGAGCAGTTGTCGATTGGTTAAACCAATATTTTCCAAACAAGTGGATTGGTAATAATGGTCCATTTGCTTGGCCACCTAGATCCGCCGACCTTAATCCATTGGATTTTTCCTTATGGGGTCAAATGAAACAAATTGTGTATCAAGTGGAAATTAACACACGAGAACAGTTATTAAACAGAATACAAATGGCTGCTATTGAAATAAGAAATCAATCAGACATTTTAATTCGGCTGAAGAACTCTTTAATTCGTCGATGTGAAGCATGTATTCTACCAAAAGGACGCTATTTTGAACAATATTTGTAATATTTATGTGTTTTAAGAAAAATGTGGCACTTAATTATGATATAAAAAAATATATAAAAAAGTGTTATAATTTCGTAAATAATTGAAATAGGACATATGTTCATTAACATTTTTTTTGTAATTGGATTAGCTATCATATGTCAAAGTTTGATGGTGAGCTAATAAATCAGCCTGTATAATACATTATCGAAACATCGCCTGCTCGGAAGTCGGGCATTAAGAGTCAGAAGAGATTCGTTCACATTCTCCCAAAATAAACCATGTTCACAAATTCGTCTTTTGTGCAATTCATAATCAAGCAATAAACAACTAGACTATTAATAAAAATATGACATTTGAAAATTCGTTTAATTTGTCATCGTTTACTTGTTTGTTTTTTAATTTGGATCAAGACAACGCTTACCACCTGTGAAATTACAAATTACAAATAATTATGCGGCATCACTTGAAAGCCGTCAAATGCATATATTTTATGGCCTACTAATAGAAAAAATAAATAAATAATAAAATCTGCCATTCTTTGCATGATTTTGATTCATTCCGCTATATCTCAACAACTGTATAGCTTGTTTTTGTTAACTATTGACTATTACTTGCTATATTTTTGATTAAATTAAAAGAATATTACTTTTGTATAGACGATTTTAATGTACGTTTTATTATCATCTAGTTACAATTAAAAAGAATGACAGAAATAATAATAATAATAATGTTATTTTTTTTAATATCTCAAGGTAACAAATGTAAACATGGCTACTAAAAATTTTATAATTTTTAATAATAATAATAAGAATTTATTATTAATATTAAAAACTTTGTAATTTTTGGAAGGTGAATTGCGAATAGCTAGTCCCTATATCTAGCTACAACAGATAGATATAGGGACATGTACTGAAGATTTCTAGAGAATTAAATTCTCTATCTCATAAGCTAATCAAATGTGGTGTTCCATTTAAAATTTTCGACTTTTTTGCAATTGAGAAGGTAAAACAGTAGTTACATTTCTGAACATCCTGTATAAGATTAACCGATGTAGCCAATGGCGCTCTTACAAATTTTAACTTTCTAGCTCGATCACAGTGTTAGTTGCTAAAAAAAGTTTCTAGTTAAAATAATTCAAAAACTAAAAGCATTAGGTATCAACATGTCTTATCAAAGTCAACTTAGTTTTGTGTGTAGAATCAGAATACGCAATAAAAATTATATCATTCCATTTAATATAACATATGTTTATTTCATCGTTATGGAACACCCTGTAAGTATAAAAATATTTTCTGTTTATAGTGTGATAAATTTCCTACAACTTTTGTCTAAGGAAGAACTGCGTATCTCGGCTCCTTAATGCCATTCATGTACTTTGTCGCTTACTTGGGACACCTATACCTGTACAACAATTTAGCACTGAATTACAATTCAAACTAGAACCAACACTAGCATTAGAACTAACACTAGACCTAGAACTAGAAACATTGTGTTCGTTCCACAGGGTTCAATACTTGCTTTAAGGGCTTTAATACTTTTTATTAATGACCTACCCGGCTTTCTTGAAGATACTCATCTGGTTATGTACGTTGATGACACATCTGTTACAATTGCGGATGCGGATCCAGATCGATTGAATATGAAAATCACGTCAACTATTAAAAAGTTTTCTGTATAGTGTGAGCGTAATAGGATTATGTTAAATGTTGACAAAACCGTTTGTATCAGCTTTTTCCAAGCGTCGAACATTGCCAACTAGTTTTGCGAATAAATTTTTATTTGCACAACACACAGGGCCGGATCACAACTTTTATAAGCCCGAGGCGCTCTATATTTTTGGGCCCCAAAAAAAGTCTAATATTACCATTTAAGTATTATGTATAATAATAATGTTTATTGCCTCAAAAACAGTTATTTACATAAATATTTATATACATTCATAACAAATAATAGACATCAAGGCAAACGGATCAATTTGTCGCAATAATCGATATCTTCCAAGAGACCAAACTGGCAACAGTGTACATGTAATTTTAAATAAATAATTATGGCTACCAAAAAAGTAATACTAAATGATGTGCTAATAGGATTGAGCAAATGAGCATATTTGAGTTATGTAACGGATCGACAGTCAGTTACTGCAAGGAAATAGACACAAAAAAATGCAGTAAAAGATAGATGAAAGGCAGACTAGAGAAGAAAACAAACACGTGTAGGTCAAGAAGAAGATAGTTGAAGAGATAGCAGATGGCGCCTTAAGGTATTTTTAAAACTTATTAAACTAGCTGCATTGCGAACAACATAAATCGTTCCACAACTCAATCGACTGCACTATAAAAGATCTGTGGTAGATTTCAGTACTATGGACTGGAAACATGAGTGTAGAGTTCGACATTGATCGAGTGGGCAAATCATGTGATGCTAAAAGGTGGACAATTTATGGACAATTTTGTACAAAATAGTAAGCATACGAAATGATCTACGACTCTGGCAAGTCATCATCTGTAAGTTGTTACGATATGGAGTAATGTGCTGAAACTTTCCTAAATCAAAAATGTACCGTATACAATTGTTCTGAAGTCTTCCTGAGTTCCCCAGCACACTGCCCTGGGGAACTCCACATTTGATGTCAACAGGAGAAGTGAGTACAGATTCCACGCGGACACGTAAAGACCGATAGGAAAGGTAGGACTAGAACCAAGATACACAAGAAGAGGTAAAACCAATAGCAGAAAGCCTAGTTAACAGGAGGGCATGGTCCATAGAATCAAAGGCCTTACTAAAATCAAGTAACACAACGGTTATCACACGCATATCTAATATCATCGGTGATCTTAATCAGTGCTGTAGTAGTACCATGCCCTTCACGAAAACCAGACTGAAATTTGTTAACCAGATTAAACTCCTCAAGATATTTCTGAATCTGCAAATAAGCTAAATGTTCAATAGCTTTTAACAACGTAGATTCAATAAAAATGGGTCGAAAGTCGCCAACATGGGACGGAGATTTAATTTTTGGGATAGGAATAACATAGGCGATTCGCCAGATTGACGGAAATAAAGACTGTTTAAAAGAACAGTTGAAAATATGTGTTAGGGGAGTAATAATTATATCCAGAATGGGCAAGAGGAATCTGAGTTCAATACCATCTGCTCCGACACTAGTGGACTTGGAGTAAGTTAAACCATCCCGCACCTCAGCATTTGTAACCAAACTCAATGAAAAGGAAAGCACGTTGTACTTTACCTAGTTATGTTACTAACCACCACAGGAGGATCCGCAAATATGTATATTATATGCCTATGCAATATCAAATCAGAACCGGGTTAACCCGGTTAATAGAACCGCCCACTGGTTAATCCAGCCCTGGCAACACACACGATTTCTTGGTTTGGTGTTAGATGGCAGGCTCTCTTTTGAAAGTCCCCTTTATGACTTCTCAAGAATTTATAATAGATTACCTCGGTCGATTAGATCTCAGGAGTTTCCCAAACAATTTAAACAAGTTGCAAAACGGTACTTCTTAGACTCTGTGTTCTATTCAAGACAGGAATTATTAGATAGGAAGTGATTTTTGTTAGTTATAACGTATTATATAATTTACTATTGTATTTTGTTTTATTGTTCTTGTATGTATGCTGACTTGTCACATTTACTTATGAAGCCTACGTGATTGAATAAATATTCTACATTCAGTGCTAGGTTTTTGTATATTTCCGAATGTTTCTAGTTCTAGGTCTTGTGTTAGTTCTAGTTTTAATTCAATAGAAATATACAACAACCTAGCGCTATCTAATGCTAACTAGCTCTACTTAGCACTCTCTCTAAAGCGAACACTAGAATTAGAAACGTTCGGATTTAGCCGTACGCCTTTTAAGACGGCTAATCCCAAATATTTCTACTTCTAGATCACGTGTTAGTTCTAGTTTAAGTTGTTATTCAGGGTTAGATTGTTGTATATTTTTTTCATTGAACTAAAACTAAGTCTAGTTAGTTTAATTTATACATCATATGACAACTCGGGAACTATCCCGGGTTTATTTATGAACATGAAATAGAGCAACTTGAGGAATAACCCGAGTTGTATTTTATCTATGAACATTTATATTTAAATATAGAGGTCCGTTATATCAATGTTTTATTATACTTACAGCGTGTAAAATAGTTTTTTCCGGTGATTTATAAACGAATTCTTCACAATTTTCGATAACATTCTGGTCGAAATTAACAGCGGGACATTCTTCCGTTAATAATTGATCAGTTATGTTGATGTGTTGGTATCTTTCGCATTTTTTCGGAAGCCCATCATCGTAAGGAACGGAATTTTTTAGCCAATCCGGTTCGAATTGATTTTGATTTGGTTGATCACACTCGGGAATAAGGCATCTATAAAATTAAAACGAATATAATTTTTTGAGATAAAGATATCGCCGAATCGACAAAAAATTTTTTTTAAACGACGGACTTTGATTAATATATATAAATAGAAAAAAAAATTATTTTCTTCGTTAAAGACCTTGAATTTGCATCGAAATAAAAAAGTGACATTAAAATTAATAGTTGTTTACTGTGTCTTCGTGAATCACGTCACGGTTTCTTGGGAAAATTAACCACATAATTACCTTTGAATTAAAAATACATAAGATTCTATGAAAATGATGTGGAAAAAATTGTTTAAATTTTTGTTACATACCTGTATTGTACATTTTGTGAGGTAAAAACGAACGCGACGTGAATTGCAGTTTGCCATAAAACTGTTAAAGCTACTAAAGAATAAATAAAAATTTGATATTTTCCAACTTCACCGATTAATTCTAAAACATTATCGAAAGTTTGAGGCGAAGAAGACATCGTTATAAAAAATTAATTATTTCAAACTAAACTAAAAACTTTTGTATCGACGTCGAGTTATGTCGCGTTATAAATAGTAACTGACATCTCCGCGTTGTTTTACAATGTTTTCATTAAAAATAAAAAACCGTTATCTGCACTGGAGATGGAGGCTAGTTCAAAATTTATGATAGCCACTATAATTTTGATTATTTTATGATATTATTATTAATGAATTGATTTATTTAAAAAAAAACTTTATATTTACCTGCATGGAATGTTTTGCGTTAAAAACGTAAACAAAAAAAAGATTTGGGCTTGCAAAATAATGAGAATTCCAACGAGCACAAAAACAAAAGTTTGATACTTTCCAAAATTCCCCAAATCATTTATAATTGTGTCTAAACTATTTTTATCACAATCGCTATCAATTCGCATCGTTCTTACGATAACTTTCGATTATAACTAACCGCAAAATACCTTATTTGAGCAACATTCAATCTCACTAATTTATAAGTATAAAATGATTTAGAATAAATTAGCATTAATTATAAAGTAATTAACATTTTTACCTATGATCGATGTTTTGTGATGTAAACACAAAAGCCATATGAATCGCCGTTTGCCATATTACAGCTAAAGAAACTAACCCGGAAATAATTAATTGATATTTCCCAACTTCACCGATTTGTACTAATAGATTATCTAAATTATCATCAAGCACAGTCATTATTCACTTATTTATTTATTTATTTTATTAAAACATCGAGTTTATTTTCTTTTAACCGATTCAAAATAGAAAGTTACCGTGTCAAGGATGCACAAACACCTTCGAATAAAACAGTACACCTCCGACTGTGACTTTAACGAGTGCGTGCTCGAATTGATGGGTTAATGTTATGGGAGTAGATTAAAAATAATAAAAATTGGTTTGTGACGCGTTTTTAATTGGTCGATTTTAACGATGGCTATTGTCCATCGTTGATGGATTCCTTATCGGGTTATTATTTTTTATTAGATCGACGATTTCAAATAATTATAGATAAGACAAAAGTTTCTAATAAGTGTATATGGATTAAATGATTCTTTAAAAAATATAGATATTTCTTAATCTTAATAAGAAATCGTTTATTTGTTTTTACGACACTTATTTTTTTAAATGATACTTATTGATAAAAATAACTGCGTTTTTTTTTCATTTTAAGGGGAAGTCCATAAATGTTTGCGATTCGGCAAATGTTGTGGGTTGTTCTTTGTCAGCATCAAGAACTAACATAACGGAAGAAACTATTCTTACAAGAATCACTATGACAACAATAATTATCTACTAAAAGATAAATATCTGGAGTTGTCTAAATGAATAGTTGTAATCAAGAGGAGTTTAATTTGCAACCGGTCGAGAACTCGTCGACTCAGTTGTAAACTCCAGTTGTAAAAGAGCTTTTTTCTGGGTTAGAAGGTGTTGCTTTTCAAAGTCGTGTGCTTTACGATAAAATGACCAGTACCAAAGCTGCTTGTTTTCTTGATATTGCCGATGCAGCTTTACAAACTGTTAAAGTTTATTTACACATTAGGAATCATATATTTCAGGTTTATCTGGATAACCCAAAACATCAATTACTTATCGAAGAAGCGATTGACAAAATGGAACCGCCTTATAATAGTTATGTCCCTTTAATAAAGAGGGTACACCAGTGTTGTCACACAGTGGAGGCTGTAGTACCGTACTTGAAAACGAAAATTACCGTATTTTATGTAAAAATACCGTACTTGTACTAAAAATGATAGTGATACAAAAGGTTTTGCGAAATAAATTCTATAAAATGAATTGTGCAAACAAATAGGAAAAAAGTTATTTTAAGTATAACAAAATAACTAACAGTTTTTTACCATCTTGTTAAATCCTCGTTTCTCCGTAGACATTGAGTATTTTGGAGAAAATACATATAGCATACGAAAGTATAATATTTTTAAATAAAGTGGTTTTTATCCAAAAAAAAAAACAGGCAATAATATTTTTATTGAAAAGAAAAATGGCAACTGTTGTATCATTTTGGAATCTTGTCTAAACAGGTCATCTTTTAAAATTACTTGCCAAGTATTACTCCTTTCTTAGAAATGGTGTATCAAACTTAGTGAACATAANGAGTTGTCTAAATGAATAGTTGTAATCAAGAGGAGCTTAATTTGCAACCGGTCGAGAACTCGTCGACTCAGTTGTAAACTCCAGTTGTAAAAGAGTTTTTTTCTGGATTAGAAGGTGTTGCTTTATCTTACCGTACTTGTACTAAAAATGATAGTGATACAAAAGGTTTTGCGAAATAAATTCTATAAAATGAATTGTGCAAACAAATAGGAAAAAAGTTATTTTAAGTATAACAAAATAACTAACAGTTTTTTACCATCTTGTTAAATCCTCGTTTCTCCGTAGACATTGAGTATTTTGGAGAAAATACATATAGCATACGAAAGTATAATATTTTTAAATAAAGTGGTTTTTATCCAAAAAAAAAAACAGGCAATAATATTTTTATTGAAAAGAAAAATGGCAACTGTTGTATCATTTTGGAATCTTGTCTAAACAGGTCATCTTTTAAAATTACTTGCCAAGTATTACTCCTTTCTTAGAAATGGTGTATCAAACTTAGTGAACATAAGTTTTTTCAACCTTAACTCAATCAAACTAAAATTTTTTTCACTATTATCACTATTAAATTGCGAACATTTCTGGCCGTAATAGGTAAAGATCTCTAGATCTCTAAAGTTATCTATTATCACTTAACTAAGAGACATGGAATTTTTTTATTATTTTAATTTGGCGTAAAATCTAAAGAACGGGATTGATGTATAATTTAATTTGTCTTACTAGTTTCGCCTATACCGGTATCTTTAGAGACTTGGTCAAAATTTTATGAAAATAACAACTTCAAAGATAATAATTAACGAAATGTTTTACACGTTAACTGTTACAGGTTAATACTTACATTATATGATATATATTATATGATTATTGATTATACACGTTAAAATGAAAATGGTTGAAGTACGTTTGAGACTTACATATCGGAATTAATAGTTTAAAAAGTTTATCAAGACCTCGTTTTATACAATAATTATCTTTGAAATTGTTATTTTCATAAAATTTGACGAAGTCTCTGAAGATGGCGCTTTAGGCGAAAGTAGTAAGAAAAATGAAATCATACATTAAACCAGTTAAAATACAGTGAATTCGTTGTATAAATTTTACGCCGATACACTGCTAGAATAGATACAATTGACTTCATATTATTTTTATTTTCTCCTGGTTGACTTTGAGATTCTAGGTACCTGTGATACAGAGCGGATATGATCGAAATATTATAAAATTTAAACACAGAATTAGAATAGACATGAATACACAAGAATATTATACACCAATATAACCAACGAAAATATTGTGGTTTTTGTCTTAACAGCATTTTACGCCACCTGTTACCATGCCATCTAACTGCGTATAATACGTATTTTCTTAACCTTCGCGAGTAATATTACGTTATTTGTGTGCGTCCTCAGACGCACGGCTAAACCCGAAGCTTTCTAGTTCTAGGTCTAGTGTTAGTTCTAGTTTTAGTTCAATAAAAATATGCAACATAGTGATTTTTTATGCTAACTAGCGCTACTTACCATTACCGCATACAACTAGAAACATTTTCGTTTCATCACATCGCTCTCAAGATGACTAAACCCGAATGATTTTAGTTTTAGGTCTTGTGTTAGTTCAAGTGATACTGCTAGTGCAATACTAGAACTAACACTAGACCGAGAACTAAAAACATTCGGATTGAGCCGCATGTCTCTCAAGACGGCTAAATCCAAATGATTCTAGATCTTGTGTTAGTTCTAGTAATAGTGCTAGTTTCGGGTTTAGCCGTGCGTCTGAAAAAGCACAGCTAAACCCGAAACTTTCTAGTTCTAGGTCTAGTGTTAGTTCTAGTTTTAGTTCAATTAGAATATGCAATATCTTATGTTAACTAGCGCTATCTACCACTGTCATTGGAGCTAACATTAGACTTAGAACTAGAAAAATTCAAGTTTAGCCGTGTTAAGCCTTTGAATATACTGAATATTTTCATAAACTTACGAAAAACCGAAAAGATTGAAATAGTGATAAAATGAAAAAAAAAAATTCGATTCCGATAAAATTGTCATTACGGACCTGTATTTTTCAAAAATGTGCAAACGATCCGAAACCTTCGAACAAAACCTGTTTATAATACATGTACATCCCTTAATACATTCCATAATATAAATACGGCCTTATAAATCAGTAATTAATGTGTACAGTGATACAATAAAGTCTACTTACAGCCCTGAAAATGATAATATCTCAGCTCCCGAAATGTAATTCAATGAAATTTTTTAACAAAACATGTAAGAAGTGCATATTATTTCCATATTTTACATAAAAACTATATAAGTTATTATTAATCAAGGGGAAACAAAACATAATCATATCTTTAACTCAAAAAACTCTACATACAGTCCTAAAAAAAGTTTATCAGTGTCCGTTATAGCTCAATAAAAATATACAACTATCTAGCGCTGAATAACAAATAAAACTAGACTAATACTAGCACTAGACCTAGAACTAAAAACATTCCGTTCAGCCGTGCGTCTGTTAAAACAGCTAAACCTGAATGTTTCTACTTTTAGGTGTAATGTTAGTTCTAGAGACAGTGGTAAGTAGCGTAGTTAGCATTATGTTGTATATTTTTATTGAACTAGAACTAACATAAGACCTAGAACTAGAATAATTAGGGTTTAGCCGTCTTGAGAGACATGCGGCTAAGCCCGAATGTTTCTAGTTCTAGGTCTAATGTTAGTTCTAGAGACAGTGGTAAGAAGCGCAAGTTGGCATAAGATATCACTGTGTTGTATATTTTTATTGAACTAAAACGCACGGCTAAACCCGAATGTTTTTAGTTCTAGGTCTAGTATTAGTTCTAGTTTTACACTAGCACTATCACTAGACCTAACACAAGACCCAGAATTAGAATCATACGGGTTTAGCCGTCTTGAGAGACGTGCGACTAAATCCGAATGTTTCTAGTTCTAGATATAGTGTTAGTTCTAGTTTTGCACTATCACTAGAACTAACACAAGACCTAGAACTAGAATAATTCGGGTTTAGCAGTCTTGAGAGACGTGCGGCTAAGCCCGAATGTTTCTAGTTCTAGGTCTAATGTTAGTTCTAGAGACAGTGGTAAGAAGCGCAAGTTAGCATAAGATATGACTATGTTGTATATTTTTATTGAACTAAAACTAGAACTAACACTAGAACTAGCACAAGACCTAGGACTAGAATAATTCGGGTTTAGCAGTCTTGAGAGACGTGCGGCTAAGCCCGAATGTTTGTGTGTTCGACTTTGTATTAAAATAATATAGACATTGAATTACATTTCAGGAGCTGACATATTATCATTTTCTGGGGTGTATGTAGACTTTATTGTATCACTGTACATTTTTTGTCTTTTATAACTTTCTTGCCATAAAGACAACGTCAATATATTTTTTTTTAGATTTATTTTTTCATCATGTTCAAAATACATAGTTACATGAATACTTTAGCGTTAAATCCTTTCAAATGTATTATAGAAGGAGATATATTATAAAAACAAAACTTGTCATAAATTTTATGACAGCGCGCTCGTTCGAAGGTTAAAGTTATTAAATTACAGATTTCTAAATTACCGTACATTTTTGTACGGTATTCACCTTTGGATTGTACACGGTACATTTAGTGGAATTACCGTACATATGGCAACACTGGAGTACACGCTTTTTTAGAACGAAATGGTTTTATTAATTTCGGTATTTTTAAACAAGTTAAACCTTTACTAGCTAAAAAATACGGCAAAGTGTTTGTAATTGGAGCTAGAATTGCTCGATTAGTTACGGCATAGCAATTACAACAATTTGGGTTAGA